TGGGCAGTTGCAAACCTCAAATCTTCAGGATTTGAGGTCTGTGACTGCACAGCGCTGAAAGGGGAGGGGAAACCTCCAAGTGCTGGGCACTTACGGAGGTCAAATTCTGAAGAATTGAAGTCTGTTCCTTCACACCGCCACGTCCCCTCCACTTGCAACCTTCCCTGCTGGCTTCCAATGGGGAAGCCGGCAGAGAAGATTGCAAATGGTGATCACATGATTGTGGGGCACTTGGCAACCAGTCATAAATGCGAGCCGGTTGCCCAGCCCCTGAAATGCAGCTACATGACTGTTGGGGGGGGAGGTGGCACAATGTTTTAGGATGGCCAGAAGTGCTTTATGGGCTGTAAAGCACCCTTTCTGAGGCTGTCGTAATTTTGACCCATCGTTAAATGAAAGGTCATTAAGCAAGGACTACCTGTACTCCCTTTTCATGTATATAACAGTGCTACATCATCTCTTCCACAAATGAGGAAAATTTGTATGAGGGAAGAGAAGAGATAGGGAAGGGAACATATGATAGCATAGGTGTTCTCTAATGCCTTAAATTTAATTAAAATCAATTGTACATTATAAATGAACCTGCTTTAAGTAAGAATCTCTCTGGAAACTAATATCTAATACTATGTTCAGAATTTCTAATCTGTAAGGACAGCTAAGATATTTTCATTAAATCTACTTTATAAATCTAGAATCTTCTGGAAGATTAAATACAGCAAGAAATACAAACCAGAGGTCTTCACGTGGAAAAGTGGGATTTACTGTGGGAGCTGAGTTGACATATCAACCAGAACCACCTGATCTTTCAGAAGAAAATTTTAGTTGCCTCAGTATGGTTCAAAGCAACTCCATTCCCCAGTCAAAACTGCCAATAGTGATCTCTTCATATGAACGAACACTTGGTAAGTTTATAATCCATTCTTTTTCCTACACTGATTTACCATGTAGTCTGATAGGAAACTTGAGCACATGTTGTGCTTGCAGAGATTTTAGCATTTTAAAATAGTTCAGAGAGAGGAAGACAGTAAGGAGCTGGTGTTTCAGCAGACTGATATTAGAGTTCCAGTAACTTATAAGAAATTATCTTACTTTCCTTTTTCCCCCTGTTTTGTTTTTTGATTTAATAGCTACTGCTCAGTTTCATCTAACAGTAGTTTATAGACAAAGATAGCAGGCTTCTCAGCCAAATCACTACAAAAGTGTACTTCTAGTGGTGTGCAAAATATTTCCAATTCAACCATTTTTTAAATTCAGAACAAGTGTTTTTAATTTGAAACAGTTGTTTTACAGCGTAAAACACCCACCTTAATCATTGTGGAATTGTTTCAGGAACAAAATAGGTTTGTTTCAAGCTTAAAACGCTTCCACAATTATTGAAACAATAATTATTGAAACAAATTCAAGAGGTTTTTCCCCCTATTTTACACTATTTCAAACTTGAAATGGAACATTTTGAATACAAAATAGTTGACTTTAAAGTATTTTGTATTTTGGTATTACAGAACATGCATGCATGCATAAATAAATAAAATTGCAAAATGCTTGTAATAGTCCCCCCTGATCTGAAATACACTGCCCTAAAAGAATGGTGGGCCCTGAATACTCTCAGAAGCCTTGAAGACCATTTTATTTCAGCGAGCCTTCGGCCCATAGGGTGATTGTGGCAACTATGGGGTTAGCTTATGACTGTTTTAACTGAGGATAGAGTATTACTTGCTTTTTAAAAAAATTGTTTTGTACTACCCTGAGTTTTGTGATTGGACAGTATACAAAAATGGTAAACTAAATAATATAGAAGAAACACAGCAATTTATTTTAACCAAACACACATTTATTTCTCTAAATATATTTACTATTAAATATTCAAATGTTTTACCCTCAAATTGATGAAAAACAGAAACTCTTCGGACAAATAATCAGCATGGTCTTATGGTCCAGGCTTTTCATGAACTTGGAAATCTGCATTTTTTCACAGGAAACAAAAGGTAAAAACATTTTTATGTTTTCCATTTCAATCTACATCTTGTAAAATTAGTAAAATGTATAATGGTTGTAAAGAAATTATCTAATAATGGGGCCTACAAAGTCACAATTTTCATCAGAATTATAAAGTATTTCACTCTTCTAAATTCCTCTATGTCTTTTCTCCCATTCTCTTTTGTTTGTTTCTTTGAAGGAGTGAAAGAGGAATTTAAAAAAATGAAAAAAAAACACTACTACTCATTTTCTACTCTCCTTATCTATTTTATGCTCTTACATTCTTCCCTAGCTAGTTTCTCCTGCTTGTCCGATAGTTGGACTGTTCCAAGCTCATTCTTTCATTTACCTGCCAGGCAGTAACCCAGCTCCATTCCTTGTCATCTCCTTTCTCCTTCCATGTTTCTTTTCTTTGAGTTTTGTTCTATAGCTATTGAGCGAGCTTTATCGTCTTGGACTGTGCTTGTTTTGTATGTTTGTTTATAACTTTTTAGGGTTTTTTTGTTCTGTAAAGAATTTTATTCTTCTGCAAATATTCATAAACATTTTCTGATACCTTCCTCTTGTGTTTAGATTACACTATTTTGGCACTTGCAAATGGAAGAAATGAATTAATGACCAAATGTTTAGTGACACATAGTTGATGGGATATTAGCTATAGGAGGAGTGGTGGTGATAAATGTCATAAATAAATACACTTAAGTGTACAGAGTAATTCACCTGGACCACAGAGGAATTGCAGAGTGTTTATCCAACGTGTAGCTTCACAAAACACTGAAAATTAACTCTTTGGCCAATCTTGTATTTAAAAAATAAAGAATGTAGCAGAAGATCATATGTCAGCCAGTCAGCTTATTTAAAGCAGTCTACAGAGTGTAGCAAAATGATAATACTGTTTTGAAATATCCAAAATTATATAAACGTTTGTAACCAGAACTCTCAATATCCCTATATGAATTAAAATCAAATTGCTTCCTTATCCTAATAACACTATTTAAACACATTGCCACTGCTAGAAAGTTCATATGGAAATACTAGTGGATGCTATAGAAAAATGCAGTGTTCACCTATCAGTTTTCTTCTTCCTGGAAGTAATGATGCATTTGTTCCATGTTACATATTTGAGCCTCTGCTTTAAGTAAAGGTGTAACACACCTCTCTAGCTGTGTTACATAGACTTCTGTGTTTTTATTTTGTTCCTTAGCGTTTACTTTAAAAGCTGTGACTATTGATTAAATAGCAACTATTTATTTCCTTTCCTCTCTGGTTATTATTCTGATTAAAAACCATCCTTCTTAAGCTGCCCATAGTTTTCTACTAAAAGATAAAGCTGATTGCAGTGAGCAATTTTTAAGAGAGATTTATTGTTTCTAGAATTGATATAAGTTTTTTTATATAAACATATTAAATATTAATGGAATGTTTTTTCCCCTTCTAGTTACTCTTACTACTTTTAAAATAAATGGAGAAGAAAACATGGCATTCCATATAACTCAAATACCTGAAAGAACACATGAGATAGAATAAGCAGTTTGCCTGTGTAATATTTTCTAGTTTATTTAGAGATCAGCAAAATTGATGATCCAGATTTTGTTTTAATTTATTTGTTTTCTATCACATTTTTAATCACACTACATTTGACCATAGAGATTTGATGCAAAATAAAATATTGTCTTTTTGCCTTCCGTTTGAATGTCAGTAATACAATTTTTAATGTATCTCAGACTTGCTTTCAAATGCTGGGGTCAAGGCCTTGATGCAGTTCTCAAAATGGATGATGTACTACATCACTGGCAAGAATTAGATGACTCATCAGAGAAAGCCACTGGTAACTTGTCAAAAACATCTCAAGTTTACTCTGAGAAGTTTATTTCTCGGGCTGGAATTTGGGGTTGCTTACAAGGAGCAATCTTAGCAGCTAAAATAGCTCAGTGAGTATTCTACTTTTTGCTGATCTATAATTTAATTTTCTCACTTAATTCACAGAAATTCAGACCAGTGATTCATATATATGCCATTTATTATGAGTACAGGGCTTCCTCTGTTCTAACCAGAAAAAAGTCATCTTACAATCATACTTCATGTTATGTTCCTATTGTACCCTTGCATTGTCACATGTTTTTATACAAATTCCTGGTGGACAGAATAAAATAAAATGTTTACATGTTAAATTTACATCATGGATTTCCATCAAAAAGAAATATAGATAGTAAGTTTGGAAATATAAATAATTAGTTTGGATATATAAATAGTAAGTTGAAACAGAATGCAGATGCAGCTGAAGTCCTCAAAACCATAAAATAAATAAATACAGATGTTATACATAAATAAATATACAGGTAGTCCTCACTTGCTGACTGCCTCGTTCAGTGACTGTTCAAAGTTATAATGGCACTGAAAAAGTGGGTTTACAACCAGTCCTCAAACTTGCAGCCATCACAGTGTCCCCATGGTCATGTGACTGTGCCCAAATCACAGTCCCTGAGCATCTCCTGGTGTCAGAATCTGCAGCAATCAAAATATATATCAACTAGAGGACTGTTTTATCAGCATAATAAATGCCATTTGTATACTTTGATTATAGGGAATGTTTTCTTAGCTTGCTTTGATTCTGCCATTCTCATTGGTGGGGGAGGGGAGTGAAAGAAGACAGACCCGGAGGAAGATTGAAGGCCAGGAAGAAGACGTGTTATCAGAGTTAGGAATGCACAAGGTCACACCTCTGTGGGAACCCAAAAGTGGTGCCTAGAATGAGGGGGGGGGACTACAGGGGTAAAAGTAGAGGGAAAATTACACGGGCTTTAGTTTTAGCAATGCTTTGCTTA